TTTAAAATGTTAAATAGAGCAAAATAAAAGTGGAAATACTATATTATTTAAAAATTTGATTTTAGTCTACTTTTAATTTTAGCTTCTAAGTTCATTTAATACTTCAAACATTCCAGTTTTTCATACATTTGTTTCCAATCAGAAATTGAAATTAGTGGCAAAATTTATTTCCTGATGAATGATAGAAGAATTTTAAAATGCACATTCTTGGTGGATTTTAGGGAAAGAACCGTTTCTTTTTGAAGCCATGTCAGTAACATAGTTAAGATTAATATAGATCTGTTCAAATAGAACTCTTTTAAAAGTGTGTTCCCAATGAAATATCCCATATGAACATTTCGTCAGTTTGTAAAGGAACTATCATGGATATCGTGTAACCGGACAAAGTACTCAATACACTGTTCTTATGTCACAGCTCACATCACTCTCATGGTACAATTTTTTGCACCCTATACTTTTGACTGCCAAATTGAAATGGCCCAGTCGTGTGTCCTAATATCTGTCAACAAGTATTTAAGACTGTCAAGAGTTCAATTTTATGGTAAACAAAATCCCTTCTGGGTAACTCACCTTCTTTTTAGGAAAAGTCATTAGTTATTTGGACATTTTACTTTTTTGAATTTTTAAAAATTATAGTGGTAGCACAGACTTATAACAAATTAATGACAGAAATTTAATAGAAAAATCTCTCCTTCCTCCCCTTATGCCAGAACCACACCCACCCCCCTACCAAGGTTAAATTTGACTTAAACTCTAAGAAATTTTTCATTTTTATGGCACTATTTGTTATAATAGGAATTCTTGTGAAATAGATAAATAATCCCAAATAGGGCCAGGTGTGGTGGCTCATGCCTGTATTCTCAGCACTTTAGGAGGCTGAAGTAGGAGGATTGCTTGAGGCCAGGAGTTTGAGACCAGCCTGGGCAACATAGCAAGACCTCATCGCTACAAAAAAATTTAAAAATTAGCCAGGCATGGTGGCATACACCTGTCGTCCCAGCTACAGGAGTTTGAGGGTATAGTGAGCTCTGATGACACTCTTGCACTCCAATTCAGGGAACAGAACAAGACCCTGTCTCAAAAAAAAAAAAAAGGAAAAACAGGTTTCAAACCATAGGGATTTGTCGTAAAATTTAGTAATCATGAGAACACAAAAGAACATTTTATTTTATGTTTAGGCGTGGTGGATTGTTTATCAGTGGACTTGTTAGGAACTTGTTAAAATTCAGGATAGCCCCCAGTTCAAATATCCAGCCACCTCAGTGGAATAGCTAACGTGTTACGTCTGGCAAGTCATGTAAACTCAGCACCCGCTCCTCTTATTTTTTTGTGGAAGTCTTTTTTTTTTTTTTTTTTTTTGAGACAGAGTCTCACTCTCTTGCCTGGGGCGAGTGCCGTGGCATCAGCCTAGCTCACAGCAACCTCAAACTCCTGGGCTCAAGCAATCCTACTGTCTTAGCTTCCCGAATAGCTGGGACCACAGGCACGCGCCACCATGCCCGGCTAATTTTTTCTACATATATTTTTAACTATCCAATTAATTTCTTTCCATTTTTTGGTAGAGACGGGGTCTCGCTCTTGCTCAGGCTGGTCTCGAACTCCTGAGCTCAGAACGATCCGCCCGCCTCAGCCTCCCAGAGTGCTAGGATTACAGGCGTGAGCCACCGCGCCTGGCCGTGGAAGTCTTTTTGATGGAGGGCCTACCTGCTTTCTTAGCCTGTTGTGGCCTGGGACAGTGGTACCTTCCTTCTTAAGCATATCCATTATTCAGAATAAGGATGGATTCTATTAATGGTTGTTAAAGAAAAGAGAATGTGTGTTTTCTAGTTAGTAAAGGAGAGGGAAAAGATTAGTAAATTTTGTTCAGTGATGGCCTTTGATTTTTCTACCTTACCCCCACTGTATTTGTATGGGCTGTTATTTAGCTTACATTTAAAAATGCAACACTGTGATTTGTATAACACTGTATTGTAGAGAACTTTTGCACGCATTCTCTTTTGAATCTCCCAAAATTCTGTAGGTTTAGGGATAAATTACTAACCTAGCGTCCCAAATACAGTCATGTATCCATTAACAGTGAGGATACATTCTGTAAAAGGTATCTTTAGATGGTTTCATTATTATGCAAACCTCCTGGAGTATATTTACACATACTTAGATGGTATAGCCTGTTGCCTCTAGGCTACAAACCTATACAGCATGCTACTGTACTGAATACTGTAGGCAATTTTAACACAATGGTAAGTGTTTGTATATCTAAATATAGGAAAGGTACGGTAAAAATTCAGTAATGTATAGGGCACTTACGTGAATGGTACTTACAAGACTGGAAGTTTCTCTGGGTAAGTGAGTGAGTGAGTGGTGAGTGAATGTGAAGGCCTAGGTCATTGCTGTACACTATAAACTCTGTAATCTTTAGCTATACTAATTTATTTTTAAAAGATGTTTCTTTCTTCAATAATAAATTAACCTGAGCTTGCTATAACTTTTTTACTTTATAAACGTTTTAATTTTTTAAAACTTTTTGACATAAGTATAATAACAGCTTAAAACACAAGCACATAGTACAGTGGTACAAAAACATTTTCTTTATATCCTTATTCTATAAGGCTTTTTCTATTTTTAGATGTTTTTATTTAACTTTTTAGACTTTTTTTGTAAAAACTAAGACACAAGCACACTCACTAGCCTAGGCCTACGTAGGGTTGGGATCATCAATATCACTGTCTTCTACCTCCACATCTTGTCCCACTGGAAGGTACTTCGGGGCAGTAACACAAGTGGAGCTGTCATCTCCTATGATTAACAGTTCCTTCTTCTGCATACCTCCTGTAGGGCCTGCCTGAGGTTAAGTTAACTTTTTAAAATTTATAGATAAAAGGAGTAACGATGAAAAGCATAATATAATAAATACATCAATCAGTAGAGTAGTCATTTATTATCATTATGTGACTGGCAGTGCCATAGGTTTGTTTACACCAACATCACCACAAACATGTGAGTAATATGTTGCACTACAACCTTATGAAGGCTATGATATCATAAGACAATAGAAATTTTCAGCTCCATTATAATCTTATGGGACCACCATTGTGTATGTATCCATCATTACTGAAATGTCCTTATGTGGCACGTGACTCTTCTTTTTCCCCACTTAAGTATTGCTTTTAAAAAGGACATCTTCAACAGTAAAAGTCCTTGAACACTGTTCATCTCTGTGTATTTGCTTTGGGCCCTGGAAAACACAAGATTGCCCATACCCCCTTACCCCCCCAGCCATGACAGGTAGCATCCAGTTACTTGGAGTGGGAGGAACTAGACGTGGAGCTCAGCAGATGGGGGAAGAGGGAGTCTTGTTCCATTATGAAGTGGGAACCTGTGAGTTTGGCATCCAGTGGTGGAAGTCTGACAAGGGTCTCCTATGGACAATTGTTTCCTCCTCAGGCCTGCCTTTATCACTGCTCTTATTATGCATTAGATATCTTAGGGATCAAATAGACCATTGTGAACTTGCTGTAGGACTGAACCACCATAATGTTATTTTACACACTCATTTAACAGACCCTTGTTGAGAATCTTCTGTCAGGATCTACTATGAACCGGGCATGTACTAGACCTGGTAGCATATAGCAGCAAATGAGCTGAACTGTGTACCAGTCCTTATAAAACCTTTCAAAGAAAATTTTGTTCTGTCTTAGACTTTTGGAAATATAAACCACTTCTAAATTGAAGGATGCCTGTATTTTGTGAGAAAAAAGCAACATTTAGTATTATTTCAAGAAACATAATAAGGAATCAGGAAGGTAATTTAGAGTTTCAATTATAACACTTATTCAAAAGCTAGTCAGTATGATACTAAGCAGTTTACTTGTTCAACAAACACTGCATGCCTCATAGGTGGTGAGCACTGCTTTGGGATATAGCAGGAAACAGAACAGACACAGACCCCTGCCCTCACGGAGCTTTATATCTTAGTAGATTCATTTTATAATTCCTTTTGTTTGGGGACATTGTATAAACAAGGTTTATAGTGTTAGATAAAAATTTCCATAAGTTCTTTCAAAAAGATTTTTCAAAATCTAATTTTTGTTTGTTCTTAGACTGCTGTAGATGTACTTTCTTCCTTAGCTAGAGTGGGACAAAATTAATATTCACTCAGATGATCTTTTTCAATCTGAAATTTCATTTACAGTTTTTAAATGCTGGAATGGTGAGGTGAGAGTAGGGGAAAAGTAAAATAAAAAAATTTAAAACCAGGGACTTTGGAGGTTTTTTTTTTTTTCTCTTCCCTGAATGATGTATCTTAAAGAAACTTGTTGTCTTAGAACGTAAATGTCTTAACACCCAGTGTCATGTATTAAAGCTTAAAAACGAATTTTAAGCTTTCTGGTTGTAGATGCTTTGTGTACTATAAAATCTGATTTAGGAAGGAGATGCTTTTGTATATTATAGCTTTCCTAATTACTTTTTGTCATTTTAGGGGTTTAACAGTAATGTTTGAAATAATGAAAACATATGGCCACACATATGAAAAACACTGGTGGCAGGATTTATTTAGAATTGTTTTCAGAATCTTTGACAATATGAAATTGCCAGAACAACAGACTGAGGTAAGAGAACACAAAATTTTCATTTAGCATAGTCAAGTTAAAAGGTTCTTAGTATCTTCCCCAATACATTTTAGTGTTTCAAATAAAGCTCATTGAACAGAAAAGAATTCCTAGAAGATTTTCCTTTAAGGCGTGAGAATATAATAGCATGTCTTCATAAATAAGAACACTATTTGGGTATAGAACTGAGTTAATGAATTGATTTTTTTTTTGTTTTCAGTGTTTTTGTTGAACTTTCAGTTTCTTTTCCTCATTTTGATTATGTAACAACTATAAAACACTAGCAACTTTCTTTAGTATCACATAGTGATTTTTTTACTCTGCCTTGAGTGAAGAATACCAAGCAAAATTTAAGTTTTATTTTATTTATCTCAATGTGTTTAACTACAAACCAGTTATAGTATGCATTTCAGAAAGTGTGGAGAGAGCGCTTCAAATTTTCCCATTTTGTTCCATGTAGCAGTATTAAATGCAGACTTCTGCAATTATCCTTTGTATGCTTGAAAGAAAGAAAGAAATTATAATTGTTTTGTATAGCCCTTCTTACCTTTTATAGTGTTTACAAATAACCATACTTCAAGAAAGTCAGTTTTATTTTAAACCTGTGCTAACTCCACTTAGGTAAATTCTTATCTTTCTTTTTTATTTCCCTGTCATCATCTGTCATATTCTAGAGCAAGGCCAGCTCTTGCTGTTCATGCATATTGAAAAGTTATACTATCAAGATGATTCAGTGATAATTTTTTTAAATAATCAAAACAGTGCAGAAAATAGTTAAATTATTTTATACGTAGGTGGTTATGGAATAATGAAGAAAAATAAACAACAGATTTTAAGTTGAGGTGAATATAATGTTCTAGAAGGAATTAGGTGGTCTGAAAGGAACACCGACAGCCTTATATTTTAAGTAAGCAGACATATGTCTTTTTTAATTCTGGTAGTTGACGAATAGTATGACCTTCATTTAATGACTTTTTTCCCCAGAAAGCTGAATGGATGACAACGACTTGCAATCATGCACTGTATGCAATCTGTGATGTATTCACCCAATATTTAGAAGTACTCAGTGATGTACTCTTGGATGATATTTTTGCCCAGCTCTACTGGTGTGTGCAGCAAGGTAAGTCCGTACCAGATATGTGACACAAAGTGTTAAATATGACCCTCGTAATATGTAAATGAATTGCTCTTTTCTTTCCTAGACAATGAGCAGTTAGCACGATCTGGTACAAACTGCTTAGAGAACGTTGTTATTCTGAATGGTGAAAAATTTACCCTAGAAATCTGGGATAAAACTTGTAACTGCACACTGGATATCTTCAAAACCACAATCCCACATGCGTAAGAAGATTTTAAACATCTTTACATTTATATTTGTATATTGAATGAGTTTGAAAATGAGGAATGATTAAAGTCTGATGGTAACTGGTGATTTCTCATAACAGAAATCCTTTAGGCATGTCTCAGTGTTACATGGATTCAGATTTATTACAGCTCAAATGCCTATAAACCTTAACAGATACATGAATTAAATTCTTTGTAAACCAAAACCACCTTCGGTCTGATTATCCAAAATTTGGGTCACAATGAAGTAATTTCACTGACTTTTATAAGACTTTATTTATCCAGATCAAACCAAGCAGTGGTTTTTTTT